AAAAAAAAAAAAAAAAAAAAAGAAATGTGAAATTAATGACTGGCAACTTCACCAAGGTCGCAAGTAACCAGAGCTGCAATTCAGACTAATACTCCCAGCTTCAAATGCTAGATACTCACAGTTTCACCTTACCTTCAATACAGAGGTCTGTTACACTCCCATCTTCCATGTTGCATGACAGTCCTTGAAGCAAAGAGATTTTAAAAAGGGTGGTTATGCTGGGCACAGTGGCTCATGCCTGTAATCCCAACATTTTGGGAGGCTGAGGCAAGAGAATTGCCTAGTCCAGGGTTTCGAGACTAGCCTGAGCAACTTGGCAAGATCTCATCTCTACAATAAATCAAAAAATTAGTGGGACATAGTGGCACATGCCTGTGGTTCCAGCTACTTGCAAGGCTGAGGTGGAAGGATCACCTGAGCCCAGCAGGTCGAGGCTGCAGTAGCTGTGAGCATGCCACTGCACTCCAGCCTGAGTGACAGAGTAAGATTCCTACTCAAAAAAACGAAAAAAAGAAAAAAGAAAAGGGGGATTAAGTTATCTTAGAAACAGTAACAAACCCACATTGTGAATTCTAAGACTAAGAGCAGCTTTGAGCAATGTTCCAGCTAAATTCTACCCTTAGCACCAAACCCCAAGACTTTCAATGACTCACTCAGGCTTTAAAAAGATAAAGGCGGAAGGCTGAGGTGGAAGGATCACCGGAGCCCAGCAGGTCGAGGCTGCAGTGGCCGGGAGGGCCACTGCACTCCAGTCTAGGCGACAGAGTGAGACTCCAACTCAAAAAAAATAAAAATAGGGACAGAGTCTCACTATATTACTCAGGCTGGTCTTGAACTGCTGGCCTCAAGCAATCCCCCCACCTTGACAAAGTGCTAGAATTGCAGATATGAGCCACCACATCCGGTGGTGTATCAGATATCATGATATCTGACCATGATATCTGATACTAAGTATTATTGTAATAGGATTAGAAATATATTTTAAAGATGTTATCTTTCCTTAGAAAGGCAATAAGCATCCATTTTTGGGGGGATGATTTCCAGTTTATGTTTGTTTTTAACTCACTGCCTTTTATTTTTAGCAGACATACAGGAAATAACTATGACCTGCTTAACGCTATCTGTGCATTTCCATTGAAAGGGAAGGTCAATCTGAAATATGAGGGAGGACTCCCAAAAAAACAAAATTTATTTATAAAACATTGTATATTTATTCTTATATGTTTAAAGTTCACTCACCTTCAAAACAATCTCGATTTGATGCAATACACCTATCGAGATGCTTTTTCCACTGCTCAAAACAGTTTTTGGACTTGTCGATTTTGATGCTTTTCGATGCTTCTGCCATATTTCGTTTCACATATTCCACAATGGGCAAAAGTTTCCCTTTCAGAACTGTTTTCTTCTGGGTTACCAAAAAAAAAAAAAAAATCGCTCGGGGCAAGATCGGGTGAATAGAAAGGATGGGACACAGGGGTCATGCCTGTGTTTTGGTCAAAAACTTCTGAAAACTCAGCTCAGTGTGGGCAAGTATGCTCGTAAATCTCCCATCATGAAACAGGCAAATGCACTGAAAGAATCTCAAAAAAAAAAAAAAAAAAATTTAACAAGCCAAATGCAACCTCTCATAACAATGCTAGCTGGAACATGGATGCCAGAGGGTTCCTAGAACACTTACCTAACAGGGAAGCCTGCACTACAGGGGCTGCCCTCCAAAATATAATTCCGGTTTGTTTTGTTTTGGGGGGGATCCCCTGGTATGTAGCGACTCAACTCTGAGTCATTTTATCTGGGACTCCACCTTATGTAATACATTATTTATTCAACAGACAACAAATAGATCCTATAGAACTAAAGCCTAAAATACTCTAATTCCATATGCCTTTGCAATCCATGTTGTCTTAGTATCGGTAATATATGTCCGTGTGCAACAAATAAGTTCTGTCCTAGGAAACCACTTTGTTCTTCCTTTCAAATAGATGTAGTAATAATACCTGTCATTCACTGACTGGCTTCTATGTGCCAGTTACTGTGATCGTCTGTTTGCATTGTTTTACTTAATTCTGAAAAGAAACTTATGCTTCTGTGTAATTATTATTTCCAATTTAAAGATGAAGAAGCTGAGACTTGGATAGCTAAGCGTCTTGTCTCAAATCACATAGCTTTCTAGTGGTGAAGCTGGGGCTTAATCCAACTTTGTGATTCCAAAGCTCATATTAGACTGCCTTCCTAGAATGTTTTCCACAGTCATTCTAGTGAGTTTTCCGTGACCTAGTTCTCCTTTCTCTTGCCAACCTTTGACTCACAAGAAAAGCAGCCTAGATTTAGGTTCACAGACTTAATGGTCCCTAACCATTTCACGGTCCCCACCTTTTGCTTTTGACCACCAGGGGGAGATATGTCTATTTTTCTCTCCAAACGATCTTGAACTCTACTGAATGTAATAGCGAACTTGTCTTTCCTTTTTGGAGCCCCCCAAAGTCCAAAAGGATATTAAAACCAGACTAGACTACTGATGAGTCAAACTGGCTCTGTGGACTAACTTGTTCATCATAGTGTTTCTCTAGATTTTATTAAAAGTGAAAAAAATCCACAACGATTCTAGATGACGGTTGAATTAACAATCCATTTATATACGACAGACACTATAGGCTTGGAAACTACATGAATGTTATTTATTTATTTTTTTTGAGTTGGAGTCTCACTCCATCGCCCAGGCTGGAATGCAGTGGCATGCTCACGGCCACACCAGCGTTGACCTGCTGGGCTCAAGAGATCCTTGCACCTCATCTTCCAAGTAGCCGGAATTACAGGTGCACGCTACCATGCCCCACTAACTTTCGACGTATTGGACAGACAGGGGCTTGCTAAGTTGCCCGGGTGGGCCTCGAACCCGCGGGCTCAGGCAATCCATTTGCCTTGGCCTCCCAAAGTGCTGGGATTACAGGCTGAGTCATCAAGCCCGGCCAAATGTGATTTTTTAATGTGTGTGTGTGTGTGTTTGTGTGTGTATACAGTTGATCCCATTATTGGCAGATTATGAATTTGCCTACTAGATGAAATGTATTGGTAACCCCAAGATTAATACTTGTGGCCTTTTGTAGCCGTTTTCAAAACACAAAGAATGGTCAAAAAATGGAGTTGTCCCATATGAATTTTCCTAGCTGGGGTCAAACATAATGTTCTCTCTTATTTCAGTTCTCAAATCAAAAACAAGTGTCTTTTCTCCCGCCTATTAAGCGCCACATTTTTTGTGCTTTTTGTTGGTGATTTTTCCCATTTAAATTGGCCCCCACATGTAGTGCTAAAGTGCTTTCAAGTTTTTC